GCATTGATAAAATATATAAAGTGTACATTTGATAAAATATATAAAGTGTACATTTGATAAAATATATAAAGAGTATATGCATTGATGAAATATATAAAGTGTACATTTGATAAAATATATAAAGTGTATATGCATTGATAAAATATATAAAGTGTATATGCATTGATAATATATATAAAGTGAAAAAGTATATGCATAAGAATATAATAAAATTAGGTAGAAATAGGCCTATAAAATGTATATTACATTAATTAGAGAGAATGTTTATGCATAGGAATACAATAAAATTATGTAGAAATATCTATTCAAATATATATTACATTAATTAGAGAAAATATTTATGCCTAGGAATATAATAAAATCAGGTAGAAATATCAATATAATATATATATTACATGAATTAGAGAGAAAGTGTATGCATAAAAATATAATAAAATTAAGTCGAAATATCCATATCAAATTGTATATCACATTAATCAGAGATAATGTTCATGCATAAGACTATAATAAAATCAGGTAGAAATATCAATATAAAATGTATATTAATTTAATTCCACAGCCTCACATATACTGGTTATCAAACTGATTATCAATTATCAATTATCAAAATCAATTACCTTGATTATCAATTTGATTATCAAACTGATTATCAATTATCAATTATCAAAATCAATTACCTTGATTATCAATTTGATTATCAAACTGATTATCAATTATCAATTATCAAAATCAATTACCTTGATTATCAATTTGATTATCAAACTGATTATCAATTATCAATTATCAAAATCAATTACCTTGATTATCAATTTGATTATCAAACTGATTATCAATTATCAATTATCAAAATCAATTACCTTGATTATCAAACTGATTATCAATTATCAATTATCAATTATCAAAATCAATTACCTTGATTATCAATTTGATTATCAAACTGATTATCAATTATCAATTATCAAAATCAATTACCTTGATTATCAATTTGATTATCAAACTGATTATCAATTGCTGGTTAGCAATGGAATGTAAGTTAAAGATATGAATTAACAGTATTTACTGCAATAGACATTGGAGGTATGAATGAGAAAGGATAGCGTCATAATGCAGCATTTAATGCATTCCCGCCGGGCATGCCATGGCCACTGTGAGATTACTTGTTGGATCGTTTTCACACATAGATGGCTACACTTGTACTAAATCACCAATGAGCCAGTTACGAGTACTGCCTGTTTCGCCCGTTCACCCTTTTCTTTGATTTACGAAATATTTTACGGTATCTTATTTTGCTGTTACTGTTAAAAAACATTATAAAAATCATAATGTTTATAATAAAAATAACACCATCGATATTCATGGCACTAGTGAAAAACACGTTTTTCCCGCCATTTCAGATCAGGCACTAACAGAGCCATCTATGGGCAGACAGTATAGAAAAAAAGTATAGAAAATAGGCTCAGCATTTTCCCCATTTTTTTTTTCATTTTCCCCGGCGGCAATGGGTTAAATATAATGTCTCTCTCTCTTTCTTTTTTTTCTCTCGATCTTTCCCTCTTTCTCTTTCTTTTTTTCTCTCTATCTTTCCTTCTCTTTCTCTCTCTCTCTTTCTTTTTTTCTCTCTATCTTTCCCTCTCTTTCTCTTTCTTTCTCACTCCTTTTTTTCTCTCATTCTCTCTCTCTCTCTTTCTTTTTTTCTCTCTATCTTTCCCTCTCTTTCTCTTTCTCTCTCACTCCTTTTTTTCTCTCATTCTCTCTCTCTCTCACTCCTTTTTTTCTCTCATTCTCTCTTTCTCTATTTTCTCTCGATCTTTCCCTCTTTCTCTTTCTTTTTTCTCTCTATCTTTCCTTCTCTTTCTCTCTCTCTCTTTCTTTTTTTCTCTCTATCTTTCCCTCTCTTTCTCTCTCTCTCTCACTCCTTTTTTTCTCTCATTCTCTCTCTCTCTCTCTTTCTCTCTCTCTGCATTGTCAGATGTATGAATCTTTTATATATATATTTTATAGTGATTATAATTGAATCTGAATCACACATGCAGGCTACGAAAAATCTTTTTTTTTTTCATTCCCTCTCCCTCTCCCTCATTCTCTCCCTCCTGCTTTTCCACCTCCCTTTTTATTCCCTCATTCTCTCATTCTCCCACCTCCCTTTTTATCCCCATCCTCCCTTCCTCTGATTTTCTCCCACCTCCCTTTTTATCCCCATCCTCCCTTCCTCTGATTTTCTCCCACCTCCCTTTTTATCCCCATCCTCCCTTCCTCTGATTTTCTCCCACCTCCCTTTTTATCCCCATCCTCCCTTGATTTTCTCCCACCTCCCTTTTTATCCCCATCCTCCCTTCCTCTGATTTTCTCCCACCTCCCTTTTTATCCCCATCCTCCCTTCCTCTGATTTTCTCCCACCTCCCTTTTTATTCCCATCCTCCCTTCCTCTGATTTTCTCCCACCTCCCTTTTTATCCCCATCCTCCCTTCCTCTGATTTTCTCCCACCTCCCTTTTTATCCCCATCCTCCCTTCCTCTGATTTTCTCCCACCTCCCTTTTTCTTCCCATCCTCCCTTCCTCTGATTTTCTCCCACCTCCCTTTTTATTCCCATCCTCCCTTCCTCTGATTTTCTCCCACCTCCCTTTTTATTCCCATCCTCCCTTCCTCTGATTTTCTCCCACCTCCCTTTTTATCCCCATCCTCCCTTCCTCTGATTTTCTCCCACCTCTCTTTTTATCCCCATCCTCCCTTCCTCTGATTTTCTCCCACCTCCCTTTTTCTTCCCATCCTCCCTTCCTCTGATTTTCTCCCACCTCCCTTTTTCTTCCCATCCTCCCTTCCTCTGATTTTCTCCCACCTCCCTTTTTCTTCCCATCCTCCCTTCCTCTGATTTTCTCCCACCTCCCTTTTTATCCCCATCCTCCCTTCCTCTGATTTTCTCCCACCTCCCTTTTTCTTCCCATCCTCCCTTCCTCTGATTTTCTCCCACCTCCCTTTTTATCCCCATCCTCCCTTCCTCTGATTTTCTCCCACCTCCCTTTTTATCCCCATCCTCCCTTCCTCTGATTTTCTCCCACCTCCCTTTTTCTTCCCCCTCCAGGCTGCGAAAAACCTGACTTTCCACTCGTCCTCTTCTGAATACCACTTGTCCGAAATATTTATGTATATATATTATAATGAAATTTATCAACTGTTATATATGAAACTAATATAAATAACTAATATATGAAACTAATATAAATAACTAATATATGAAACTAATATAAATAACTAATATATGAAACTAATATAAATAACTAATATATGAAACTAATATAAATAACTAATATATGAAACTAATATAAATAACTAATTTATGACACTAATATAAATAACTAATATATGAAACTAATATAAATAACTAATATATGAAACTAATATAAATAACTAATATATGAAACTAATATAAATAACTAATATATGAAACTAATATAAATAACTAATATATGAAACTAATATATGAAACTAATATAAATAACTAATATATGAAACTAATATAAACAAATATGGCAGCCTCCATAATCATAGAACTGAAAGGAACTAGACCTTGCTAGATTTCATTAATTTTAGGGAGAAATCTACTGGAAATTTTTACTCGTCCATGTGGACAAGCGAGGTAAACATTTTACTTGTCCTCCACAAGTTTACACTCGTCAAAGACGTGCGGACGTGGGATTTTTCGCAGCCTGACAAGCATTTAATGCACAGTTATATATATGATTTTTTTTTATAGTTTATAGTGATAATATTTGAAATCCCACATGCATTTCTTAACCCATTCGCACCGGGTGTCACGTATACGAGACGTGCCCACTGTGAGTTTATTTGTTTAATTGTTTTATAACATAGATGGCTACACTTGTACTTGTACTGCCTGTCTTGCCCGTTTACCCTTTTCTTTAATTTAAAAAAATATTTTTTACGTTATCTTATTTTGCTATTACTAATGTTTATAACATTATAGTAATTATAATGTTTATAATAGAAAACTAATAAAAATACATTCTCCCGCCAATTCAAGTAAAGGTGAAATCAGGTACAGCAGAGCCATCTAGTGTAGAGAAATTTCATTAAAAAAATATTAAAAAATGGGCATAGCATTTACCCCATTTTTTGTTCATTTTTACCTGTCGCGAATAGGTTAAGATGTAATGTAATGCATCGAATATATATCATGTCTTGTAGATATTCATTTCATTTATGCCTTTTTAAAGATACTAAAAATATCCTGAATTCTTTCCTATGGTATTAGAAAAGTACATTGGATGATGAACATATTTAATCACATACACATACACAGAGAAATAGATGCAGAGATGCAAGTATATATGTGTTTGTGCATGTTGACTTGTATAGATCAAAATGACTTCCTTGAGTCCTCTTACATTTTTTTTCATTTTAAAAATATATATACTACTTTTATACAAAATATGTGAAGTTTCCTCTTTTCATTTTGATTAAAAATTATGCTTGAAGTTAGAACACTCATGTATAAATTGGACACCAACTTCCACATCTGTGACTATGAGTGTGTTGTGTGGTGCAGTGGTAGCAATCTCGTCTTGCAATCTTGCTGACCTGCATTCAAATTCTCTGTCTGTCTCTCTCTCTTTCTCTCTTTATTTCTATCTTTATCTCTATCTTTATCTTTATCTCTCCCTCTCTCTCTCTTTCTCTCTCACTCAGTCTCTCTCTCTCCCCCTTCCTCTCTCTCTCTCTCACTCAGTCTCTCTCTTTCTCTCTCTCTCTCTCTTATCTCTCTCTCTCTTTCTCTCTCTCTCTCTCTCTATCTCTCTCTCACTCAGTCTCTCTCTCTCTCTTCTCTCTCTCTCTTCTCTCTCTCTCTCTCTCTTTCTCTCTCTCTCTCTTTATCTCTCTCTCTCTTTCTCTATCTCTCTCTCACTCAGTCTCTCTCTCTCTCTTCTCTCTCTCTCTTCTCTCTCTCTCTCTCTCTCTCTCTCTCTCTCTCTCTCTCTCTCTCTCTCTCTCTCTCTCTCTCTCTCTCTCTCTCGTTTAGTAATCTTGCTGACCTGCATTCAAATCCTTTGTCACCAGTGGATGGTAACCCCAGCCATTCCATACACACAAGGGGATAACTTAGAAGCAAAATGAAACAGACAATATATCACACCAAGACTATCCCTTGTCACACACGGAATAAAACTAACAGACAATATATCACACCAAGACTATCCCTTGTCACACACGGAATAAAACTAAATTAAAATTGATTGATTAATAATTGACGAGGGGGAGGAGCCTCTTCTTCAGAACGCTGTGAACATTTGTGGATATCTTTCTGATCAATCCTGGTCAGTGGCAGCAGGCATATACGTGTCTATAGATAAAAAAACAAAAAACAATGGAGACTAAAACATAGGTCATGAAGCGTAAAACCTCATCAAACTTGACAAAACTACACATTAAGAATAACAAGATACAACACAAATCAGAAAAAAAAAATAACTTTTAATATCTATGATGCATCTCCCCACATATCAAGAGGATGAGTTTTCCTTGTACATAGCTTTTTTTGTTGATTTTTCAGTGGCCTATGAAATTCCTTTTCTGGTTAAGATATACGTACAGACCTCATATATATTAGGATCTTCACATAGAGACAATGCCTATGTGGTTTCTACTTTACATGAGCAGACAACATGTATCATATCACATATTTCTTAAAGAATCCTCACACTTTGCTCCTCTGTATGCACTTCCTCGCGTCATTCTGGAATGTGTTTTGGAGAGAAAAAAAAACACGTTTTATAGGAAACCTCACAGGCCTACGGCTTTTCTCTTGTATGAACTCTCATGTGCTTTACTAAACCACTCTTCAGAGCGAAGTCCCTCTTACAAACCTCACAGCTGAACGGCTTCTCCTTTGTATGTACTCTGATATGACTCGCTAGATTGGCTTTCTGCGAAAAACCCCTGTTGCAGATTTCGCAACTGTAGGGCTTCTCTTTCGTATGTACTCTGATATGCTTTACTAGCTCGCTCTTGGACGGAAAGGCTTTACTGCAAACATCGCAGACGTAAGGCCTCTCTTTGGTGTGTACTCTCATGTGTATCACTCGGGAGCTGGTTTGCGAGAATGCCTTGTTGCAGATTTTGCAGTTGTATGGCTTCTCCCTCGTATGCACTCTCATGTGTATCACTCGGACACTGTTCTGCGAGAAGGCCCTGTTGCAAATCTCGCAGGTGAAGGGCTTCTCCTTTGTATGCAGCCTCGTGTGCTTCACCAGGTTGGATTTGTCCGAGAAGTCCTTATTGCAGATCTTGCAAGTGTAGGGCTTTTCCTGTGTATGGACCCTCATGTGCTTGACTTGACTATTTCTGTGCGAAAAGGCTTGGTTGCAAATCTCACAGACGTAGGGCTTTTCTTTAGTATGGACTCTCATGTGGTTTACTAAGTTGGATTTGTCTGAGAAATCTTTACGGCAAATCTCGCAGCTGTAGGGCTTTTCTCTTGTATGGACTCTCATGTGTACCTTTATGCATGCTTTTCTGTAGAACGTTTTGCCGCACACTTCGCACACAAAACATTTCAGTTTCCTATCCACTTCTCCGCGTTTGAGCTCTTTGCGACTTTCCGCGCTTCCTGCCTCGTCCCAGTCTGATGATGGACACTCGTTCGCACAATCCTCGGCTGCGAATGGTGCTCCTCTCGGCAAGATGTCGCCACGGCCCTCGGCAAAATCGCACGAGTCTTTTCCCTTCGTTTCGCGTCTCCTGAAGCCTCTAGACGAGACGTCTCCGCGGCCCTCGGCAAAATCGTGCGAGTCTCTTCCCTTCACTTTGCGTTCGAAGCCGTGGAGATCCTCAAGGAAGAGAAACTCGCTCTTCACTTCCACTCCGCTCGCTTCCTCCCTCGCCGCTCCGTCTGCGTAATCATGCGGTTCTTCCTTAATGTCCAAGTACCCCTCTTCAACGGCGCCTTCGAAGAGCTCCTCCTTTATATGGACTCCTGTGCCCGCCGATTCCTCCTCCTTCGCGAGACGGGCCGACGGAGTCCGGGCGGGAAGAAGGACGTTCATCGCTGCCCTGTGGACGGAAAATAGAACAGGGATAGAAGATTACACGACGACATTGCTGTAGGGTTAAAATACAAAAATAAAAATATCATATACAATCCGATATTTAATGACTGTTATTTTGTCATACGTGCCAATTGGGTTAGAGTGCATGACGACATATGGTTAGATTACAAAAAAATTATCATATATAATTTAATATCTAATCATTAACCCAGTTGGCACGTATGGCAAGATAAAGGAAAACAGAGCTGGGATAAAAGACTGAAGGACAACACTGTTAATGGTTAAAATACAAAAAAAATATAATATATAACTCCATAAGTAATCATTGTTATCCAATTATCCATGATGACACTGCTAATGGTTAAAATACAAAAAAAAAAATAATATATAACTACATATTTAATAATTGTTATCCAATTGTTATCCATGATGACACTGCTAATGGTTAAAATACAAAAAAAATATAATATATAACTAGATATTTAATAATTGTTATCCATGATGACACTGCTAATGGTTAAAATACAAAAAAAAATATATATATAACTACATATTTAATAATTGTTATCCAATTGTTATCCATGACGACACTGCTAATGGTTAAAATACAAAAAAAATATATATAACTAGATATTTAATAATTGTTATCCATGATGACACTGCTAATGGTTAAAATACAAAAAAAAATATAATATATAACTCCATAATTAATAATTGTTATCCAATTATCCATGATGACACTGCTAATGGTTAAAATACAAAAAAAATATAATATATAACTCCATAATTAATAATTGTTATCCAATTGTTATCCATGACGACACTGCTAATAGTTAAAAAAAAAAAAAAAAATAACATATAACTACATATTTAATAATTGTTATCCAATTGTTATCCATGACGACACTGCTAATGGTTAAAATACAAAAAAAATATAATATATAACTAGATATTTAATAATTGTTATCCATGACGACACTGCTAATGGTTAAAATACAAAAAAAATATAATATATAACTACATATTTAATAATTGTTATCCAATTGTTATCCATGACGACACGGCTAATGGTTAAAATACAAAAAAATCATCATATATAATTTAATATTTAATCAATAACCCAGTCGGCACGTATGGCAAGATAAAAGATTGCATGACAACACTGCTATATGGTTAAAATACAAAAAATTATCATATATAATTGGATATATAATTACTATAATGACTAAATTTACAAACACAGATGACCAAATGATGACCAAATGTGATGTCTATCGAATATCTATTATCTGTCTATTATCTATCTATTATCTGAATGAATTGCTGCTCTGCGAACGGAAAATAGAACAGAGAACAGGGATAGAAGATTAATTATTATTGTATTAATTAATTGCATAATTGTATAATAGTAATGCATTGTATTAATTAATTGCATAATTGTATAATAGTAATGCATTGTATTAATTAATTGCATTATTTTAATTAATTGTATAATAGTAATGCATTGTATTAATTAATTGCATTATTTTAATTAATTGTATAATAGTAATGCATTGTATTAATTAATTGCATTATTTTAATTAATTGTATAATAGTAATGCATTGTATTAATTAATTGCATTGTATTAATTAACTGCATAATTGTATAATAGTATTGCATTGTATTAATTGCATAATTGTATTGCATAACACTGTCTCTGTCTATCTAATTATTAAAATGAGTAAATAAAAGATTGCATAACACCGCTGCTGACGATTAAAATACAAATCTTATCATACACAATTATATAATTATTGATAAATTGTATATCTATTGTATATTAAAAAATTGTATATTAATAAATTGTATATTTATTGTATATTAAAAAATTGTATATTAATAAATTGTATATTTATTGTATATTAAAAAATTGTATATTAATAAATTGTATATTCATTAATAAATTATTGTATATTTATTCTTAAGTAGGGGACTATCTGTATAATAACTGCATCACTACACAATTACCCACAGCCACACAGAAACTAATATGAAACAGACAAATTCCTTCTTCCAATCTCCTACCTTAAGCTCGACACACACTCCCTCTGTGGCTAAACCTCTAGCAGCCGTGTCCCTGTATGTGCCTTTCCTTGGATCTCGACAAAGGAGAGTCCTCGCTCGAGGGAACAGCGGCTTGACTAGGCAGGAGTGAGGGCAGAGGAAAGGAAGTTAGGCTTCTCCCCATATAGATTCCTGTTAGGGTAGTTAGGCTTCTCTTCGGATAGATTCCTTTAAGCAAAGTTAGGCTTCTCTTCGGATAGATTCCTTTACGGGAAGTTAGGCTTCTCTTAGGATAGATTCCTTTAAGCGAAGTTAGACTTCTCTTCGGATAGATTCCTTTAAGCGAAGTTAGACTTCTCTTCGGATAGATTCCTTTAAGCGAAGTTAGGCTTCTCTTCGGATAGATTCCTTTAAGCAAAGTTAGGCTTCTCTTCGGATAGATTCCTTTAAGCAAAGTTAGGCTTCTCTTCAGATAGATTCCTTTACAGGAAGTTAGGCTTCTCTCCATATAG